GGCCCGAGCTCTCCCCCGCCGCATGTGAAATGTCGAGCTTCGCTTGGGCAAGGAGATGCAAGGAGGTGCTCATGGAATTCGGAAGATTTTTTGCCGTTTCGCAGCGCTTCGAGCTTTATTTTACTTGTTTGGCTGACCTCTCTGGCTCCTGTGTCGGTGGCCGCTGTAGCTTCTCCGGCAGCCGCAACCGGTAGACCCAGGGTAGACCATTCGGAACTGAGAGACATTGAGAGCGAACGTTCGCTTGTCGCAGAGACCCTGTTTTGCCTAGACTTGCGTGGATCGTCGCGGTGGCGGTATTTTTTGCTTATTTTTTTTCCGTTTTTTTTCTTATTTTTTTTCCGTTTTCATCGTGGCAAGCAAGCAAGCCAGCAAGCAAGCAAGCAAGGAAGCCAGCGAGCAAGCATGCAAGCGTGCAAGCACGCAAGCAAGCAAGCAAGCAAGCAAACGCGCAAGCAAGCAAGCAAGCAAAGAAGTAAGCAAGCAATAAAGGAAGCAAGGATGGAATCGTTGCAGCCTCCTGTTATTACTACCTACTACCTACTACCTACTACCTACCACCTACCTACTACTACCTACTACTACCTACTACTACCTACTACTACCTACTACTACCTACTACTACCTACTACTACCTACTACTACCTACTACTGCCCACTGCTACTGCTGCTGCTGCTACTACTCCTGCTACTCCTACTACTCCTACGACTCCTACTACTCCTACTACTACTACTACTACTACTACTACTACTACCACCTACCACCTACTACCTACTACCTACTACCTACTACCTACTACCTACTACCTACCACCGACCACCGACCACCGACCACCTACCACCTACCACCTACTACTACCTACTACTACCTACTACTACCTACTACTGCCCACTGCTACTGCTGCTGCTACTCCTACTACTCCTACTACTCCTACGACTCCTACTACTCCTACTACTACTACTACTACCACCTACTACCTACTACCTATGACCTACTACCTAGTACCTACTACCTACCACCTTGTGCACAACCTACCACCTACCACCTACCACCTACTACCTACTACCTAGTACCTACTACCACTGCTACTACTACTATTATTATTACCACGACGACGACGACTTTTACTACGACGACTACTACTACTACTACTATTACTATTACTATAACTACTACTACTACTACTACTACTACTACTACTACTACTACTACTACTACTACTACTACTACTTACCACCTACTCCCTACTACCTACTACCTACTACTACCTACTACTACTACTACTACTACTACTACTACTACTGCTACTGCTACTACTACTACTACTACTACTACTACTACTACTACTTAAAGGATCATGGGACTTAGTAAGTAGGTTATAATTGGGGTTATAAGTCCCCTAAGTCCCGGGCCCTACCCCTACCCCTACCCCCACCCCCTCGCCCCCTACCCCTACCTACCCCTACCCCTAGCCAAACAAGGGAAACGGAAACAAAAATAAGAAAAACAACGGAAAAAAATAAGGAACAAAAACCACGCCCCAATCGCCCCATGCGTGGAATGGTTATCACCTGCGCATCGCGGAATATTGAACCAGCTGCGAAAGAAGACCCACTAACCACTACCCATTAGTACCCAGAAAGATGACAGAACGGCACCGTGGCACGGTCAGGTAGAGCGTGAAAGCCAGTCTGCGTCGCAATCGAGACTACAAAGTTCAAAGAACAGAACCCGTTCGGGCAAGTCATACAAATGCATCAGGCATGGTGGAATGGCAACGTGCAGTACGACTTCGCTGAGGGAGTTCAGGTGTAGCGGCAGCGGGGCAGCTGGGCCCCAAGTGCTTGCCGGACATCGTGTTCAACGAACCAGGCTATATCAGCCACAGTCGCAACATCAGCTCTTATCCGACATAGTGACAGTGCGACGACTTGGTAGTGCAGAGAGGGGCAGTGCGGTGGAAGTGCTTGATGCCCCAGCTTGTCAAAGTTGATCCATGGTGATGACGATGATCATGGTGATGACGACGGCGCTGCTGCTGCCGCCGCTGTTGGTAAACATTCCTAGTGAAGCAATTGTGAAAATGCCGATGATGCTGATGATGTGCTGATGCTGATGCCGATGCTGCCGATGTGGATGCTGCTCCCCACCCTTGCTTATGCGCCTGTCCAAGCAGCGTGAGGAGGGCAGATGCTTGCTGCTGGCTGGGTGTCATGCTGGCGATAGAGCAATAGAAGCATTAGACGTTGATGGCGATGATGGATTAATGGATGGATGGTGGTGATGACTATGATGATGAGGAGGCGGATGCTGATGATGATGCAGACACAGGTGATGCTGCTGGCGGCTTTCATCATAGTGTCCGGCCGGTTTTGGCAGCCGACCAAATCGCTACAGTGCACCACAAGAGGGCAATGTAGACGTAGAGTACTTCGCAGAAGTGCGAAGTCTCGTGTACCACGAGTTCTCGCGTGATAGCACGCGATGACAGTCCGCTCAAGGCGGAGACGTGGGAAAAAGCAAATAAGGCTTGCATGTACGAATTGGGAAGGCTAGTGCGAAAGCTTGCAGCAATGTTGTACGTCCCTTTATCAGAGGTGCGACTCAACGTGTGTCAGGATGCGGAGCATTGCAGAAACAGTACAAGCAGGCAGCGCAGCAAGACAACTTGTTCGACAGCCACTTAGGTCAACTTGATCGCCAACTGCGGAAGTGCAAGCGAGTGGAGTAGCTGGTCAATGCCAGATGCTAGCCGGCTAGCCCCTGTGGGTCCGTTTGCAGACGATCGCTGGGCATCGAGCAGCAGGCCAGTATTGAGTACCAAAATGATGTGTCTGCATTCTCCATGCAATTCTGGTAGGCCATGTGAAGGGCCATGGGGTTCTGGCCCCAGCTGCCTTCCCAGTGCCCGATGCACATGTCGGCCAAGCTCAGGAAAAAAAGGGCGAAAACAGCTGAGGAGCGCTAAATGACATGAAGGCTGAAGGTGCTGGACTTCGTCGATGTAAGGCAGAATAACAGCATGAATGTCAGGGCATTTCGGTGTCCGAGGTTGCTTCTGTTTAGCGATGTTCTTTGAAGAACGGGCCCATAAGCCTTGCGTGATCATTGCCATGATATGTGCTTTCAATCTTCATTTCATGGCGACAGGAGGACCAGCGGAACAGCACCAGCACCGCCAGGCATGGAACTCTGCCGTGTCACGTCGCTGGATGCTGCTTGATCTTTTCAGCACTTCCGCAAATAGTGTTTCCAAAGACCCGTGCCGTGAAACTCTATGCTTTGATGGCGCACGAGGCAATCCGAGGTTCCTGCAGACTCTGCAGATGTTGTCCAGGACTGCTTGTGCTACATGAAGACAGACAGATGGTAAAGATCAATATGTGCAAGGCAACAGTCGTCAGACAAATACCCAGACTCGGGCAACCTCAGTCTGAGTCAACTCGATCACCCGGCCGATCCTTTGGAACTGGAAGCGGGCACGATTCGGTCTTGAGCGGGTTGTGCAGTCATGAATGACAGACTTACGCAGTGGGAGCAGTGTTATCTAACATAGTCCAGTGAAATCCCTTGGATTTGCAGGCAGACAGTTGCCCACCTGCGCATGCGAACACACACCACAAAGGAGTTTCAGTCTGCCGATGGATGGTGCTCAGAAGATGCTCAAAGTGCTTTGCTCAAAAGCAGAGATTGCGGCGCGAGGCGCTCCTCCTCTACTTGGAGTGCCTTTAGGGATAGGCAGGGCTCGGCCAAGGCTCGCCATGGACCGCCGCACCCCGTGGGCCCCACATCTTAGTTACCTGCACGCAAGCACGCATAAGCACGCAAGAACACAGACCAACACGGAAAAGGATGCATGATCAATCCAAGTATGGGACTATGTCGTTCCGAAGAACATCTTATGGATGGTGTACAGCTGCTGCCAGAGACCTATTGACCTTGTTATCCTGAATGCATTCCCAAATCGAGGTGGATTCTCGGTCTTTGTTATTCAGAAGTGAAGCAGCCATTGGTAATCATCAGGTCTCATGGTTTTGCTCGGCATGGTCTGGAATCTGACACGTGCCGCACTTCCGGATTGGAATGGTTTTTCAACCCCGTCCGGTTCAGAGTGTGTGTGTCACACACAAACGCACACACACACACACACGGACACCCGGCCGCAGAGCAATGGTCACTACAGTTTGAGACTCTACCAAAGTAACATGCTACATACTAAAAAGAAGCCAGACGTAAGGTGTCAATTCTTGATCAGCCCAAGGCGACATGTCCGACATGCAGAGATTGCACATTCTGGCTTTTTCCAAGCCCCGCATGGAGCTTTTTGTGAGTGTGTTGGTGCTCGCTGTTCGTGTGCGGGGGCAGATGTCAAAAGCAAGTTGACATACATAATACATACACATATGCATATATGAGCATGTACGTGCAAGTAGTGTTGTAATGGATGCCTACGAGATCACTGGCTGAATGTGAAGGGTCAACTTGAGAAGAATCGAATTAGATGGTTTGATAACAGCTTATTCCGAAAATGTGCGGTTGCCCAGTCTTCCGGGAAGACCTTCGTAGCGTTCAACACTATGCGACAACGCAGAATCGTTGAAGTGCACTTTGCAGACAGCGAAGCTTGCTTCTCTGATGACAAGCTCCGCAGCTGTTTCGCTCGTTTGCACATTTTAGAGTTATGTTGTGTTTGTTGTTTGTTGATTGTTGTTTCTGAACAGTTTCAATTCATTTTATTTGCTATTTGGCTTGACTCAGCATGTGGTGCTTTCTCTGTGATGCACTGCGTTCGAAGGTGCTGTTGTGAAAGACCAAGCCGGAAATGCATGAGAGGCTAGGAGCCACGGCGAGGCGTAATACGCGGCGATGTGGAACATTGTTAAGCTGTGCTTATGGGGAGTATGCTGGGTCAACGATGTCTCACACATGTTGAAATACCGTCTTAGTTGCACCTGCTGTGCCTAGATGTCACCATTTGCCGCCGCTCCAGGACCCGAGGATGAAAAAGCTTGTGAAGAGGCAGGACTGGAGCCGACACATGCAATACTTTCTCTCGTGTGCATGGAAGGTACCGACTGGACAAGGCTGCCGAGTCCAAGCTTTGTGAGGTCTTGGCCAAGTGGGATGAGGACAAGCAGTACAGGCCCATAGTCGAGCATGGAACACAAAGCACCTTACGTGTTCGTGTGCTGATGCCGCTCATCGTTTCCAGGTATTACAAAGACCTTTGGAAGGTGCTGGCTGATGCAGTGAAGCCATCTGCGACAGTCATGATCATTGTGCAGCTGGCTTGCAGAGAGTTACCATGGATGCCTAGCGACCGGTTTTCGAAGGAATGACACATGTCAGCCAAGGAAGAAGATCGTGGCTGGGGAGAGACTATGTCGAATAGCTGCAATGGAATGCTTCAAAAAACGAACCCTTATCATGTCACGTCTAGCCCATCCTCGCAAACTGCGGATGTTGACTGTCAAGCCAAGCCAAGCGCGGAAGTGCGACCCCGGCTCGCGTTGCAACGTAGGCACTCGCCAAGCCAAGAATGACAAATCCACCTGAAAATCAAGGGTCCGCACCATCTGACTTCACGTGAGGAGGGTCAGGCTGAGTAGCCAGGCACTACGTACAAAATTGAACATCCTTTCGACTCATGCTGGATGACAGAAGATGCTTAACTGGCTGTGCCAGCGAGCGAGTTCTGTCGCTATCTCCACTTGCCTCACACATCGTTGCAAACCATTGCAAATCTGCACTCATGCAGGTGCTGTGCCTTGCCGCCTGCACACCACCTGCCAAAAGCGAAGTGTTTGGAGAACGCACCTTTTCGTGAAGCCGCAGGACTGCGGCGGGAACTGGGATGGCCATTCTTCACTATGATTGTCCGCAAAGGCTAGACAAGAACGAAGATCCGGGGCAACGCAGGGAAAAGGAGGTTCCGGGAACAGACGGAAGATCTGCCGCAAGGATAGGGAAAGAAGGTTCGGGGCGAAAGAAGAACTGTGAGGATAAGAACAAACTCTAAAGGTTGGCTTGGTTCAAAGTTGATTGGGGGTTTCGAAGAGGATCCCCGGCAAAGGACCGCATCACAATAAAATTCACTAGATTGCTAGAGTTGCTAGAGAATGAGAATAACTGTTGCATGCTGTGTGCACGGTCTTTGACAACTCATGGAGTCTGTCAAGTGCTTGCCAGTCTTGTTTGGAAGGAGCGTAAGCGTGCTGTTGTCTACATGTAAGGTGAGGAGAGCAGCAGCGACACGGAGGACCCAAATCCGAGACAGAAGACACTCGGCCGCGTTGCTAGTGAGTTTAGTAAGGGAATTAACCCATGCACGGACGATACCAGCCGAACTGTTGTCAGAAGGGGTTAGGGTGCAAGGCGCCATCATGCTGTTTCTATGTCTCATGCACTGAGCTGATCTCCGTTGTGCGAGGCGCGCAGTGCGGTAAGAAGTCTGCAACTAATCAATGACAGCTGGTGTTGCATCGTGGCCAGAAGAAACAAACCAGGGCAGTGAAGCTCTTGCCGTAGCATTCAGGTCCGTTGCCTACACGAAAACAACATCTGCACGGAATCCTGCTTTGCCACAAACCCTTCCTTTTGGACGACTTCGCCGGATACTCTGTCGGAGTTGCTGTGTGACTGGCGAAGCGAGACAGAACTTCCCGCCCAGTTCTGAGCTTGCTTCGACAGGTTCGAGTTCCAGGTCACGGTGTAGCGAACCAGCATCCCAACCATGCGCTACGGTAAAGGCTACCTATATACGGTTACCGACCACTGATGCCCACGATGCTGGCCTTTGAGCAACTGTCCAGGCCCGCGGCCTGCTGCAGCGTTTGGTTCGCAAGGGCTGGAGTGTAGTGTTCTACTTCTCGTGAGCTAGTGTCTGAATTTTTTGCTAAACTTGACCACGAAGAGGTGTGCTGGATATCCTTGGCATGCTTGATGCAAGCATGTAGACGAGGTCGCGAATCAATGCCCTCATATGCACGTGTAGACCAGCACGTCTCAAAGCCGGAGATGGCTCGTGCGCCAGTGTCCAGTGCCGAAGCACAGCCGGCAGTCGGTTCCAAGGCCTTCGTGCGTTAGTGCGACATGTGCGACCCTCCAACGTCCAGGTTTGTGTGTCGTTAGTGACAGAGCTCTTCCGCCCAGGCTGCCAAAGGCGCCGCAGACGGTTGCGCTGCAGCCAGGCTAGTGCGCAAGGATCTTCTCGACGAGACCTGTCAAGCGAGGATATCAGGCCGACTCCAAAACAGCCAATCCCGCATTTCCTTAAACCTAGGACCTAGCAGCCTAACGAGCCCTAGCTTGGCCCCAGAGGTCAGCAATGCGCGAGTTCCGGCACATCATTGCCGTGGCTACAAGATGCAAGCGGACATCCCAAGGGCCGCTTCACTTCTCCTTCCGTGCCTCTGCTGTTACCCCTAGCAGCCCTCGCATCGCTCCCCAGCTTGGACCACAAGAGCAGAACGCCTGAGCACAGATCTGCATTGCATTCAGAATGGCCTTTTCATAAAGACTGGTCAAGGCACCGAAATCGAAAGGAGACCTTGTGTCATCCTGATGAGCAGATTTTTTTACCCGATGGCACCCTCGAAAAGACGTGTCACCACAGGGTCTAGCTCGGACATGCTGCTCTTTTCTCGGCCGCCTAGCCATACTCTTCAGCCGTGACGGTTTTGTCACATCGGGCGGGATGGGGGAGAGAGGGGTTGAACGCGACCATGAAGGTTTCCACGGGTTCTGCCCTTGTGTCCGTTGACAGCCGTTCGCGCGCCCTTACTGGCCTGGAAGCCAGTGGAGGACTTTTGCGCCCACGCACGCTCGATCTTGCTGTCTGGCAATTTAGTCTAGCAAAGGATGGCAGTTCGTTCGCTGGGATGCAGCACGATGCATGTCTCGGCTAGAATGGAAAGTAGCGACAATCGATTCGTCTTGCAAAGATACGACGCCTGCGCTAACCTTTGGCTCTCCAAACTCAGCTAGGTGATATACCTCTTTCCGGGCAAGGAGATGAAGGTTGGAAGACAGCCAGACATGTGCGCAGTGGTCATGGACTGCCCGGAAGTTCCGCAGATGATCAGCCGTTGCCATGCTAGGCTAGTGGATGCTGAAGGCACGTGGGTTCAAGGTCCATAGTAAGTCAGCCCGTAACCTTTTTGTTGGGCTTTGGCAGTTCTTACAGTGTTTAGAGTTTCTGCGAGAAGACTCCCATTTCTTGAATAGTTCCCCGAGCTAAGCGGCTCGTTCTGTCATTAAACATCATTTTACACGGTTGACCCATTTGAGAATGTCCCGAAGTCCAAACCAAGGGTGTTGCATGCGGTAACGGTTCCCCTTTCTCCATCACCCGCGTATCGGACAAAAGCAATAAGCTCACAGCTGTTTGTGAGCTGCCACTGCCAGCACGATGCCGACCAGGCATTTGGGTCCTGACAGATGAGAAGAGCTTGAACGGCATCCATGTCAACGATATGAAACTCAATGCGCCCAAGCTGCTGAGACATGGCGACTCCATATGTTTTGGCAGGACGCCAGGGCACAGCCTACTTCTCAAAAATAAGGCGCTTCTGTGTGAGAAGGAGACATGTCGACTAGTGATCCCAGTCCAAGTGTGGAACGCCAAGACACATCCAATCCTTGGGTGTGTCACTGTCAGCTTCAAGTCAGAGCCGTCATTGTAGGGTGTGAGCCCCATCGTGAACACAAACTTCGAAGTTACAAACATGTGTACTGTACCGGAAGGCCTTTGAAGAAAAAGGGACACAAGCGGACGTGCTGAGAAACATGTGGAGTGTTTCAAGTTGTTCGTGCAAATCAGGGCAACCCCATGACTTGCACAAAGCTTGTCTGATCGAGATGTGGCATGGATTCGAGCTTCGTGGGTGGTATGAAAACATTTCCACAGTGTGACTTGCAGTTGCAGTTGCTTTCGGTTCTGGGCCATGGGACGCCTTTCGGAAGCCTGGCATCACGACATCCATTGCGGCTATTTTCGGCTGGCACAGTCGACAAAAAAGCAATCGCCTAGGGGAAGTAATTCGGCTTCGCATCTTTTTGCTTCCGGCCCGACTCCGAAAACCCGCAATATTCTGCGTGGCTGCGCAGGGATCGGCAGGGTATGCCGGATGAAGGCGTTCTGCGTGGTTCTGCTACTATAGCTAGAGTTCTGGCCTGTTTCTCCTTGTAGTCAGTTGAAGCTCTGAGACCGCGGTTACTGTGATGCTGTCTCGCGTCAACAGCTAGCTCAAGCGCTTTGGTTGAGTAGTAGATTGATTGACCCTCTTGCGTCAGGAAGCTGAACGACCGACCTGTCTTCGAGTATGTTTTTGAGGAGAAAGATCATCAGATTCCAGAAAGACGAGGCAAAAGGAAACGAGAACCCCAAGCAGATGCAGTTGCTGTGGGCCAAGCTACCGCAGCTGTCCAGAATGGGAATGTTTCCACCAGCGCTGCTCGGCAAGAAGGAAAGCAGTGCGACGCAGTTGGGCTAGCTGACCTTGCAGATGCAGACGGCGACAACATGTTGCAACAGGAAATGAGCAAGCTCATGAAGGAGCATATGGCAAGAGTAGCACAAGAGAGGCTGGATCTTGATGCCAGACGGGCAGAGCTGGATGCCAAGTTCAAGCAACTGGAAGCAAAGTCGCAACAGCCTTCAAAGGAAGCCAGCGCGCCCGCTGTTAATCTGAAGGAACTTCAGTCTGAGCTTGTGTGTTCCATTTGCCGCGACTGGATTGTCCATGCTGCCTCCATAGAGTGCGGGCACATGTTTTGCCGGGAATGCATAGATCAGTGGCTCGCCCACAAGCACTTTTTGTGCCCTGTCTGCCGAGCCACGGTCAAACAAGAGCCAACAGCCGCCCGAACACTCGATGTGATCGTTGACAAAACCATACAGCAGAGCAGCGCGTCGGACGTGCAGGAGTTCCAAAGTCGCTTGAAAAAGGCTGATGAGCTTCAGGCCAAGCGGCGAACGGCCACGCGGGACCTGGAAGCGTCAGTGAAAGAAGCCGTTCGAAGTAAGAAGAAGTTCTTTCACGTCAACCAGAATTGGGGCAAAAAAGAGAAGAAGACCTTCCACGATGGCGTCAAGCAGTACATCAGCGAAGGTAGAGAGGCTTACTGCCAGCTGGTTGGCCTTACTATCAGCTGGGTCTACAGTGCCGATGATTCAAAACTCAATCAGGCATTGCACAATCTAGGTTTGCAGGAGTTTGTCAGCAAGCCCGAGAAGGACATTCGACAGAGACTACTGATGTTTCTGCGCTATGGGTAACCGTGTGACCGAAATGTTTTGGTGTAGCACTGCCATAGCTCGCGAAATCAACGCGTATTCCCTTGAGCTTCAGCAAACATTAACGTTCTGACCAACAAGCGACTCATGCGACGGAGAATGCAGAGTGTTGTGACACTTCTTTCGTGCCTGTTGGGCAAATTCGCTTGGATGTACAGACCGCCCACAAGGCAGTAGTCCTGTGACCACAGGGCCATCAATTTTTGCGACAGCAGGGTGCTCATGTTGTAAAGCTCGTTGTCACTGCCTTGGTATCCAGCTAGCAACCAGGAATGTCGTCACACATGCGTATGTTTTCTATTCACAAGATCACAAAACAGCAGGTGCACGAAGCGCCTACTATACTTAGCACGGCACCATGCAGCACCGCCCCGTACAGATGGAGGGTAAACGAAGTTGGAGAATCCAGGCTTGTCATGTGTACGACTGTAAGTGTATGACTGTATGCATTTGCAATGCATTTCGAGCGGGGGCTGCGGGCCATCGGTGCCTTAGCCCGTATGTAATGCTGCATTTCGAAAGCTGAAGCAATCGTTGACAATGCTGTAAAACAGCATTTTCCTAGCTAGGGGTCCGCATGGTTATCCAGCAGGATGGCTTGTCTCCATGCACACCTTGGGGGCGAGGAGTGACATCGGAGAAAAAGGCGCCGCACGTGCAGTATGAGGGGCACTGAGGGCAAGTGCTAGACTGCTAGTCGAACCAACCCTACCAAGGAATAACTTTAGCTAGCACGAGCTCACCTTCGGAAGCGAAATCGCAGTCCAGCATGGGCCCATGCCAGTGTGTTTCAGGAAGAATCCGCGCAACATCCCAGCTGGATCCTTCAAACCGCAGCGCGGGATGGGAGTCAATGGCAGGACCTTTGACGACGGGCGCTCATGTGCAAGCGAAACGTGGAACAAGCCACCAGAAGCATCCACCTGCAGTCGCTCTTCACAGGATCCATGTGTCGCTTTGCATTGCATTGAGCACCGCCAATTGACGGAGTCCGCGATCGGCAGCTGCTGCCATAGCGGGACCATGCCGGGTGAGCATGCAGTCAAGCGACAGTTTTCCGCAGGATCGCAGCACGCGCCATGCACGAGGGTGCCCAGCGGATACGCCAGGAGATCACATGCTTCGTGATGGGCTTTGGCTCGTAGGCTTCATCGACTGTCGGTTTGTTGCAGATCAGATCCTGCTGTCATGTCCAGATCGTATCTCCAGGGCCCTGTGTGACTAGCACAGCAAGCTCCGAGCGTAGGGAGTCGCAGTCGCTCAACTTATCGCTGCTCAGCCGGGGTTTTTGTTGCTATCCGCAAAAGCCAATTATCACGATGGCAAAGTCGCCCGTTTGAAATGCCGGTTCGTGACGAGCCTCACCTGTAAATCGCAGGAGCTTCAGGCCAATTTGATCCAGCAGATGCGGTCACAGATGGGTGGTGACACTTAGAGCCCCGGAAGCAGGGCGCTGTCACTGTCATTTGCATGTAGGCCGCCGAAGGAAGCTTTAGTAGCATGATGCCGTTGCTTGCCATGCCATTGCACGAATATCCTTGGCAGCGTGGACATGCGCAACCTTTCGCCTTTCAGGCAATGTAGCCACGCCAGCTCGGGTGATAAAGCCTTCCCACTTCAAGCATGTGGCGGAGGATTACTGCGCTGCAGCATGCCGCCGCCATCCGCTGCAAGTCTGGAGTGTCTTGGCTCTGGATTTGACGTGTCGTCGTTTTATCTTGAAAGCCTGGTGTTTGCAGGGTCAAAGGTCCCGTGAAAACAGAGATGTCAATCGAGCACGTCGCATCATTCGCCGAGCAAGCTCGTTGAGCTGAAACGGTTGCGAACCCGTCTTCCGAGACTATTATGTTAGATGGATCTAGCTAGCCAGATCGTTCGTGATCCATGGCAGAGAGAAAGAGCTTGGAGCAGGTTGACACTTTTCTCGTCGAGCGGAAGCTTGGACCAAATGGACCCGTCTGAGTCCTGAGTCACAGCTTGGACCACATGTGCAGACACACGAACATCGTGGGGAAGACTAGTGACAGCCGGCAATTCCTCGTGATCACTGCGGCAGACCCACAAGTTCCGGTATCAACTAATCAACAAGGGAAGGGCTGTTGCATTTAGAGATGGCCACGAGCAACCTACTGCGAACCCACGCGCAGATTATTACGTCATCTCGTGGGCTCTAGGCATCAGAGATGGTTGTAAAGACTTTTCTGGGTCTATTGCGGTCTATGCATTATGTGTAGAGCAGCTTTTTTGGTCCATGCTTTGCCATCTCTCAGAAGCCATGTTTGTATGAGTGCATGTGCGAGTTCGAGGTGCCTCGTCTGCCGTGATCGATGGGATGACACTTGAGTGATGTCCTCGCTTTGTCCGCAGCATTGCGAATGTGATTCCCACAGAACCGGGAGGATGCAGCAAAGCATGTGGCCCATAGAGCGAGGCATTGCTAGTTCCAGGCCGGCATGAGCTGCTTCAGCGTCAGGAAAAAGAAGCTCCGTGCCATATTCATGAGAAGTACGTCTACATATGTAAATCCGCACGCAAGCACTGAAAAAAGAGCGATATTTCAGTCTGGCGAGCTTGCGCAGTTGGCATGAGTTTCATGTTCGAGCGGATGCACACGCCAAAGGCATGTTTTTTTGCAGCGGCAACAGGGGGAGGGCCCCTGAGAGGGTAGGGGCAGGATGCAGGCAAGATGCGGTAGCTGAAGCCATGCCGAGACGCGAATTTACGATCTAAATCCGATGCAGCCAGTTGTAGTTCTGTGTACTCCTGTGCATGTGCGCGCCGCTTCCAAGCCATGGACGGGCACTTCTCTATGATCTTAGGCAGAGCAGCTACACCAAGCCGCCCCCCTGCCCCGATGTATGGCAGACTTCAGCGGTTGCAGACAGAACGAGTGTTTGAGACTGCCACAAGCTGAAGCAATGCTTGATTGCCGAAATGCAATGCTTATGTAGACCAGCTGATTGACGCCATGTGGCGTCTTCTCAACTCGCCGCCTAGTGTGATGCGGGACTGAGCTGCCATTTGCTGGCAAGTTTGCACACTGCCAGGATTGTGTCTGTATGGTGTGTGTGTGTGTGTGTTTGTATGCTTTTTTTGTTTGTTCGACTGTGTGTGTGTGTGTGTGTTCGCTCGCGCCCTGTGGTTGATGACCTGCATACGGCATACGTGGTGAAACCAGTATGCAGTACGCGCTCAGTCCGTCGGCACGGCAGCAGGGATGTAACCGGCACATCTGAGAAAAGCCGTCCCAGAGAGAGAAAGAGAGAGAGATTTTGGCTCAAGCCGCGAGTGGTTCAAGGGCCTGTGGCAACCGCGGCGGTCCGGTTTTTCGAGGACTTCGTGAACAGCGTCGGCTACGGCATCGGCGAGCCTTTTGACCGAGGGAGCCGAGATCCTTCGCCGGACGATCATCGCTGGGCGGGGAACTACTTGCAGGGGGGGACGCCGAGAGTCCAATCCACAACTATGTTTGGGCCAGGGAGGAACCCAACCACACCGGCAGGGTGGTACGCGACTACGACGCCCAACAGCTCGCCCGGATCCCAAGCTGACTGGACAGATCCATGGACCTGCTGAACTTGCACCCGGAGCTGCCAGGGCAGGTAGATTCCACCCCGCCTGGAGCATCCCCGCCGAAGTGTGTCAGGGCAGAGGGCCAGGGGGATACCAACCTGGAGGCCGTGACGATGGAGGCGATCAGCAGGACCCTACAGCTGCAACTGCGCCAGGAGCGGGAGCTGCTCACGGGGGAGAGGGAAGGCCATGACCCAGGTGAACGCGAGGGTCGACGACATCGGCATCCATGAGGACGCCCCCTGCGCTTGCCCGCGATTGGCGGATGCGGACCAGGGCACCCGGTGCCTTGGCGCGAAGTTCCTCCTGATCTGTGAGGTGAGGCTCGACGAGGTGTACAGCACCCCGGGCCATCACAACGCCCTGTTGGGGGTGAGGATCGGTGAAGCTGCGAACCCCGGCCCGACACCGTGGGGTTCTTATGTTACGAGACGCAAGCGGAAGCGCAAGCAAGGATCGCCTACGGCTGGTCCTGACCTTTCCGCCATGTTCGGCTCTGCAGCTCAGCAACAACTGCTGAAAATGCTCAGGACCGCAATGGAAGTGATGATGAAGCAGATGATGGAGTCTTTCTTCGTGGAGGGTGGCATGCGGACGTCTGGGGCGATGCCGCAGCCCATTGCTCCTAAGGGGAAAGACAAGAAGGGAGGCGGAAAGGCTGCAGGGGGCGGCTCAGGGGAGCCACTTTCTACTCCGTTGCCGGCGAGTGAGGGCAAGGGTGCGAAGGACCAGGCGAAGGGCAAGAGCAAGTCTGGTGGTGAGGGCGGCGGCAAGGGCGTGAACAATGCGCCCAAAGGCGGCGAGGCTAAGGCTGGCCCTGTTGGCAAGCCTGGTGGTGGAAAGGGCACGCGCGACGGCGGCAAGCCGTCAGCCGGTGCGTTCGGCCCCAAGGGCAAGGGCACTGGAAAGATTGACGGCAAGGATCACGATGTGATGCAGGGTGGTGAGTGGGAGGTGATCGCCTGGCAGGCCAAGCCGACGGCCTTTGGCTGCTCCCGCCTGGTGACCTCCATCGAGTCCCTTGAGGCGGCCCTGGAAGGAAGCGAGAAGATCCTTGTGCAGTTGCCGGCGGAGTCTTTCGACGAGGCGGCTGCGATCATGGCAGGTGGCTGTCCCGCGGGCTGTGTTCTCGTGAAGGACGGTGAGGCATGCAGCACATTGGATGGACTCCAAAAAGACTGGCCTGTCACCAAGCAACACGTGCCGGGAATGATGGGAGGGAGCCCTAGATTGCGAAAGGTTTGGACTTGCACTTTCGGTGCCCCGGCCTCACTTTCTCCTTCCATGGACTTCGTGAAAGCCCCTGCGCCGCAGAGGCGCTGGCAGGAAGATTCAGTGGTACTCAGGTGTGTGGCATGGCGCTCCTTTGCTGACAGCTCGGAGTTCGAAGGGATGCTCAAGCGACCAGGCCGTGCGGCCCGGGCGTGGTTCACCAAGGTGACGCCTTTGCACATCCAGGAGTTCATCGACTCATGGGGCTGGCAGTGTCACGATGGGGCTCAAGTACGGGGTTTGCTTCGCCTCACCAAAGATGCTGCGCAAACGGCTCTAAGGTCGTCGGGCTGCTGGGCCAATGGGGTGGCGCTTTTCTTTACGGCGCTGGATTGGGCGGCTGTGGACGCGTGCGAGGCACCATCGCTGCTCTGGATCGACCGTGAGGGCAACGAGACCACCAAGGAGTACGTGGAGCGCGTCCGCAAGGAGGCTCCATTGCGGAGGCGACCGGCTGGCTGTGCGGCTGGACCAGCTTGATCCTCGCATCCTTCCCCAAAGGGCTCTGTGGCACATGAGGGGGGCCCGGCAAGGATGGTTGTGCGACGATGTGGAGGGCTTGCTTCAGGCCGCCGGCTTTAGCGAGATTTCCGTGGAGGCGAAATTGCTCAGAAGGGGCCACTTTCGGGATTTCGTGCCCATTGAGCTCGAGGTCGAGGGTGGCACCGATGATGGCCTTGAGATGGTGCTGGAAGTTGCTAAGGTGCAGCGACGGCGCAAAACCAGCGAGATCAAGCCTTTGCCAGGCGAGCGGGTTGCAAAGTTTGGCCAGGTCAACCTCGAGGACATTGTCCAGAAGGTTGCGCACCCGAAACGCAAGTCTCGGTTCAACAAGGGCCAGCAGCCGGACACCGCCCCCGACGCGCTCGAGGACATGGTCATTGATGATGATGCAGCGGATGGCGCGGCTGAGGTGGGCCAACAGCGGCGGCAGTCGGACCAAGGCGGCCGTGACGCGGTGGAGGGCGAGGACACTGTGGACGAGCCGCCCACAAAGCGGCCGCTCAAGCATGTGGTGTTGCCGGCTGACGCCAAGGCGCACGCAAATCCTGGAGGTGGGGACTGTTTGTTCCACTGCCTCGCCGATGTTCTTTCTGCGATTCAGGGCAAGAAGCGCGGCCACCGCGCGGTTCGCGCTTCTGTCGCTGCTTGGATGGAGGCGCACATCGAGTTGCTGGAGCCCCACTGGGACAAGCTACTTCCCGACGGCACCGCGTCGCAGGGCACCTTTGCTGAGTACTGCCGTGTGATCAAAGGTGCTGGCCAGTGGGGTGGCTTCCTTGAGTTGTTTGCCGCCGGCGTCGCCCAGGATCTCAATATCCTCTTGCTATGCCCGGAGAATGTGGTGAAGTTCGCCAGCAGGAATGAGGCAGGCAAATTCGCATGCTTTAAGTACGAGGCCGGCCATTATGAGGTGGTCACGATGCACAGTTGTGGCTTTCAGCGACTCCGGGCACACCTTCTGGAGGCCGTGGTGGTGGGGATCGCTCGGCTCCTTCCAGCCTTCACCTTTCGGCTTGTGGGGCTTCCTCGACGGCGGCTTCGGTGTGCGATCGTGGCTCGGTGACTGGGTCCAGGCGGGCTGTGAGCACTGGTGTGAGGGGACGGGGTGGCCGTGGGCGTTCGCCTGCTTCGAGCCTTCACCTTTCTGCCTTTGCGACTTCTTCGGCGGCTTCTTCGCGGGGTCGTGGCTCTGTGTCGAGATCGAGGCGGGCTTCGGGCATGGGTTGCCGGGGCTTGGCTCTCTCTGACTTTGATTCGACTACGGGGGCTGGGATTAGCAATGCGGCTGTGGATGGCAATGACACGTGCCTCTTCGTCCCTCCAGGTACCGCCAGGACGGGGGTTATCGCTGGCCGTGCCAGTTGTGCCCCTTCGTCGCTCACAAACCTTCGTGTGCTGCGATGCGCAAGGCCCGCTACCTGCATTGCACAAATCACCACAATGGGGCCGAGCTGCCTGGTCCGCAGAAGATGCGGTTGGATGCTTTTCGGGTCCTGGCTGAGGACGAGGAGTATGACTGGAAGTGCCCACGTTGCAGCTGGGGCATTCCTCGTGGGCTTCGGGGCTCTACCTCGACGGCGGCATTCGCCTTGGCGCGGGACCGACACCGTGCTCTTCGCCATCGGCATTTGGATCGCAAGGCTTATATGAAGCGGTGCAAGACTTCGGGACAGCGGCGGCCGCATCACATCATGAAGGCAAGGATTCGGGAGCTCAACGCCGGGGTGGCGAAAAGAGCGCGCGGCTCTGATGCTGCTTTGGAGGGCAAGTGGCAAACTTTCAAATGGCCCTACACCTACCTGAAGAAGAAGGCCAAGCGTCAGGTCCTCTGCGTGAAGGTCGCGTGGCGGTGCAGGCATTGCGGCTTTTGCACTAAGGTCAAGAAGGACCGAGCGCCGCACCACCGGCAGCGGCTTGCACATGATCGGACCAAGGCCGCTTCTCTTGCGCATGGCATGCCCGATGAGCTCTTTGCGGCGGTCTTCGATGGAGCGCATTTGGCGCTGGGCGGCGATCCGTCGCCGTGACGGCTCATTTTGAGCACTCGGCGGCGCTCATGACGATGAACATCGAGAAGAACGCGGTTGTGAAGATTGAGCGCATCGCCGACTTCTACAGGAATTCGTGCTGTCAGGTGTTGTGTTTACAAGAAACGGACATCAACCCTGGCAAGCGGGCCCAGCTGGATTGACACTTGGCGATCCAAGGGGCTCTTTGCATTTTTGGGCGATGCTGGGAGCCAGGGGGTTTTTCGAACGTCCTTGGTTTCCTCGCATCCTGGTCGCCTCGTCCAACTTGACGTGACCGACCCCAGCAGGATTACGGCGGTGGCTTTTGAGTTCTCCTCCAACGGAGGTTACAAGAAGCTGATCGTTGTGAGCATGTACAGTTTCTTTTCTGATTTGGAGGCTGCGGCTTCGCTTGTGGAGGAGGTCGTCTCTTCTTTGGAGGCGCTTGGCGTGGAGTGGGTGATCCTCGGGGATTTCAACCTGACGGCGGATGATCCACCGATGGCGCGGAGGCTTTCTTCTGGCCTCTGTCGGCTCTTGGACGAGCCTTTCTTGGCGCAGGGACCTTTACCGGGGACGGCGGGCGGCACCAGGCGGATCGACTACGGCCTCGGCCCGAGTTCGGCGTTGGCTTCTTCAGTGTGGCACG